ATTCGGTATTTACAGTATTGGCTAGCGTGACTGGGCTCAGGTGAGAGAAGACGTATGTAGTGTCATCAGCAAATAGTGTGGGTTTGAGTAATTGCGAAGCATTTGGTAGGTCATTTATGTATAGGAGAAAGAGAAGAGGGCCAAGGACACTTCCCTGTGGCACACCAACTGTAATTGGGTGTGCGGAAGAGCTTGCCCCATTTGCGTACACATATTGGCTTCTGTTGCTGAGGTAAGACTTGAGGTAGTTGAGGGAGTGCCCTCTAATACCATAGTGTGACAATTTTACGTGGAGCAAGTCATGGTCAACTGTATCAAAAGCTTTACGTAAGTTAATGAAGATCCCCAGTGGGACTTCTTTTTTCTCTATTGCAGTGTATATATGTTCTAGCATGTGTATAATAGCATCATTAGTATTTTTATTAGGCCTGAATCCAAATTGGCAGGGGTTGAGTATGTTTTGGGAGATGAGGTAGGAGTAGATTCGTTTATGAATTAATTTTTCGAAGATTTTTGAGAGAGGGTGTAAATTGGATATTGGCCTATAGTTATTCAACTCTGTTTGGTCTCCTCCTTTATGGATCGGGGTGACCCTTGCTATTTTGAGAACTGTAGGGAAGGTGGAGGATTCAGTGGATTTGTTAAAGAGTGTTGCAATGATTGGTGATAGCACTTGACACTTTTTTGTATATAAAGGGTGGTAAGGTATTTAAATCTCCTGCCTTGTTTTTTAGTGCGTTGATAATAAGGGAGACTTCGTATGGGTTAGTCGGAGCTAGGAACTGTGTTCGGGTAGTTGCCAGTGAGGTAGTCATTTGGTGGGGTATCTGAGCTTGGGATTTTATTGGCAAGGTTTTTTCCTATAGTGGAGAAGAAATCATTGAGTCTGTTTGCTGTTTCTGTTGGTGGGACTTGGGGTTCATCTGATTTTGCTAATTTTATTTCGCTATTTCGTGATATCTTTTTTGTTCCCAGAATTTCTGATAGGGTTTTCCAGGTCTTTTTTATATCACCTCGTAAGTTGGATAATCTGTTCTCATAATACAATTTTTTTGCCCTTCTTATCAGGCTGGTTAGGATTGACGAGTAACGTTTTGTTTGGTCTCTGGTTATGTGACCCATTCTGTACTGTTTTTCATATCGGTGTTTTGTATTTATGGATTTGAGAATGCTGGGTGTTAGCCAGGGACTGTTCAGTCTCTTAGCTGTCATCTGTTTAGTTTTTTTAGGGCAGTGCTTGTTATAAAGGTATTGGGTCTTTTTTAGAAAATTATTAATACATTCGTCAATATCTGTATAGATTTCTAGCTCAGTGTGCCAGTCAATGTTTGTTACTGCTGTTGTGAAGTTATTAATGGCTGCCTCATTGTGAAGTCTGAAGGTGACTTTAGTAGTGTCTTGGGGTAATTTACCGAGAGTTGTTATGAGGAAAGCAGGGTAGTGGTCTGTGGTATTATCTGTAATTATGCCTGATTTTAAAGGGGATATGGTGTTGGTCCAGATGTGATCAAGTAGGGAAACACTAGTCTCCGTAACTCTTGTAGGTTTTGACTCAAGAAATCGTAGTGACACGATTGCAAACAAACCATACCCCCGGCCGGGATTGAACCCGCGGTCATAGTCTAGTGGCTAACGTGACGGGCTGGAGTTTTGAGACTCTATGACCGCGGGTTCAATCTCGGCCGGGGGTATGGTCTTGTAGGTTTTGTTACTGTTGGTAACAACATGCAGTTACTCATTGTGTTTGTGAATTCAGTAACGTGTGGGTCCTGGTCTTGCAGGAGATTTATATTGAAGTCACCTGAGAGTAGTAAGTGATCTTTGTTCATGCATGCATCAGTTATCATACTTCCTGGGTTTTGACTAAATTGGCTAATGTTTGACTGTGGAACTCTGTAGATGTTTATCAATGTGAGAGGTTTTTGTAGGTATTTGGATTTGAATTTAGCTATTATATATTCCCCATGTTCATCCCTTGTGCAGGTATTAGTGATACATTCTAATTGGTCTGAGTAGTATATAGCTGTGCCACCCCCTTGTTGATCTGTCCTACAGTTGTGTATGGCTGTGTAACGAGGAATGGCATAGACATCTGTAGTATCAGGCTTTAGCCAGGTTTCAGTTAGTGTAATGATGGACATATTGGCATGCAAGGAATTTAGTAATGCTATGAGGTCATCGTAATGCTTGCTTAAAGATCTGATATTGTAGTTAAAGACAGTTATGTTTTTGTTGGTTCTGAGAAGTGCCTTTGATTGTTCTGCTGTGTAGTAATTACAGTAAGTCATTCAATAAGAGGTTGGTATCAGGATCAATGCTCGTAATCATAAGATTTGTAGTGAATCTATAGTTAGAATTAAGTATAAAACAAAGTAAATATTCTAAAGCTAAAAAATAGCACCTGAATTATTTAACAAATGTAAAAATAATGAGCTAAGGTAGTTTTTTAAAGCTAAAATAAAGGAGACTATAAAAGGGACTAAAATAATTTGTGGTGAACAAATAAAGTGATGATCAAATAATGGAGCTTGGGAATATGATAGTAGGTAGTACTTTAAAGGTAATTCTTTAAAGTTAGAATTATAATATAAAATTATAATATAAAAGGGACTAATATAAGTTGTGGTGAACAATAAAGTGGTAATCAAATAAATGAGCTTTGGAATATAATGGCAAAATAGTGAACTTATTACACTTTAGCACCTGAGAATAGCACCTTGATTATTTTAACAATTGTGAATATATGAACTAAGGTAGTTATATAAAGCTAAAATTAAGGAAAAAATATATAAGGGACTAAAATTAAGTGATGGTAAACAAAGTTAAATGGACAGATAGTCACTATGAAATAATATTGGTTTAGGAGTAAGATCTGATTTGTAATATTAACCCTTTGAGGGTCGACAGGCCCTCTCCGAAACTCGTTCTCATTGTCGGCCAAATTTAAAAAAAAAAAAAAATTATTTTCTCTTATGAAAAGATAGAGAATCTTTTCCCGATCATAAAGACACCAAAAGTTTGAAATTTGATAGAAAACTTACGGAATTATGCTCTCGCAAAGTTAGCGGTCTCGGCGATGTTTACGCATCGGCGATTTTGCCCACTTTGAGCCCCATTTTCGGCCAATTTCACTGTACTAGTCGACAAAAAACATGAATATTTCACTAGAACTCCATTTTTTCTATCGAATGGGTGCAAGAAACCACTCATTTATGAAATTCAACTATCCAGTACAGTGGTCAGAATTTAGCAATTTTGCCAATTTCACACAAATTTCAAAAGATGCCAATTTCCGAATAGGGTCCAGAATAAACAAGAAAGACATTCCTGGCACTAAAATGACATTTCCTCTAGTCATTAGTCATGTCTCAAGGCCTCTTATATTCTTTTGCTTTCCACTTTGAATTTTTATTTTCACAAAAAATATAAGATTTACTGTTATGCAGACTACTGCATTAGTGTAAAAAATGGTATAAATATTATTGGTGTACTTGTGAAAGAATATTAGACTCACCAGTTGACGTGTATTGCACGCTTGGCACGATTTGTTTACTTTTGAAGTTTGGTAAAAATCGAACATTTCTGCTACTTTGAGCTCAATTTCAAGGCACCTTTCTTTGTAAAACCAGTCAAAATCATCTCAATTTCTGTAATATGTCTTCCATTCTATAAAATGAGACCAAGAAAACTAGAATACAACAATAAATACCATACGAAAATACACTGCAAAGTCGCTGATTTATTAAAAAAAAATGGTCAAAGTTTTTTTTTTCTCATTATGCACTGTGTGCTGCAGGATTTTTTTTAGACTGTGCACACTGACCACATAGACCCATTCTTTCATATGAAGGCCTACCAGCTTTCTCCCACTAGATTTGAGGCCGCTAGAATTTATGAGTACTAGTACGTCAAAAACCCCTACGCGTAAGACGTACTAGTACGACGAAAACCCTCAAAGGGTTAAATAAGTTGAGCAGTTAATTGCACAATAAAAAGTAAAAAAATGAGGTAGTTGGTACTAGCTAGCAAAAGATAGTTTTGGTACTTGCAAAAAAGTAATTGGAATATACACTAATTGCACACACAATAAAAAGTGACTAAAAAACAAGTAGTGGTAAACAAAAATAAATTGACAGGTAAGAACAATGAATAATATTAATTTGGAGTAAGATTTGACTTGTAACTTAAAATTATGAGCAATTAATAGCAGTAAGAAAGAGGTATAAAGTATTGGAGGTAGTTAGCATTAGCTAGTGATGAAAAAAATAATAAAAATAATAATGCACAATATAATAGTAACGTACACTATATGCACCACACGTATATATGTATTAAGGGCACTTATCTAATCTGTTACAGAAATGTCAGCTTTTCCAAGGAAGGTAGAGAAATCATGTTCGTTTGAGATAGTATATTGTTGTCCTGTTGATGTTTTCCTTACTAGTTACATATGAATACATATGAATAATTCTTTTAGGACTATTGGAGTGGGAGAGTATGTTATCAGTTATATGTTATCAGTTTTAGGTTGAAAATATCTTCCTTTGTTCGAGGTTTAAGGACCCCAATGGAAATAAGTCACTCTGTCTGACTTTTTTTGGGTTATCCCAGGTTCTCTACACATATGCTGCTATGTATGATAATTCTATGTAACTGTATTTGTGTATACCTGAATAAACTTACTTAAGTATTGTGTCGCCTTTGGTGTATCACGTCATGTAGGTTCTCATGCATAAATAAGTCCATTAGTAAGTTTATTTAGGTACAAATACACAAATACAGTTACATAAATTATCATATTTAGTAATGCATGTGTAGGTTACCTAAGATAACCCAAAAAGTCATACAAAGCGACTTAACATAACATGTTACCTTAAATAATTTTTTGTAAGTTAGTTTATTTAGGCACAGCTACACAAGTACAATTATGATGTATATTGTAAATTACCTAAAATAACCCGAAAAAGTTAATGACCATTTATTTATAGTTCCAGCCTCATGGGTTACCCAGTTTATTTCTCCATTTGAAATATTTAATCACAATAACTTGCATATTAAGGTATCGCAGTCACATTCCATCAATAAATCCTACATTACATTATGTAATCCTTTATTTAGCTTTTCACTTTTTCTCTCCAAAGTCTTAAACTGGCTGCCATCAAACCTAGTCCTTTATTGCTTTATACAGTATAATTTGTAGTTTACATATAATAAAATATTGCCAAGCAAAAAGAAGGCCGCTAGCATGTATGAGAATTTTGGGCATAATTTTCTCTACCTTGGATTTCTGCTAAAATTTCAGCATTTTTATTTTCAGAAGTGTGTCTATTTCTTTTACCAGTATTGTCAATCTCCTTCTGTTCTTACCCCCACTGGCAGAAAAGTAATGTGAAGGACCTGGGAGTGATAATGTCAGAGGATCTCGTCTTCAAAGACCACAACAATGTATCTACCTCATCCGCTAGGAAAATGATAGGATGGATAATGAGAACCTTCAAAACTAGGGACGTCAAGCCCATGATGATTCTCTTCAAATCGCTTGTGCTCTCTAGGCTGGAATACTGCTGTACACTAACGGCCTCCTTCAAGGGTGGCGACATTGCAGACCTGGAGAGTGTACAAAGAACTTTCACGGCACACACAAGTGCGATACGGCACCTAAACTACTGGGAACGGTTGAAGGTCCTTGATCTGTATTCCCTTGAATGCAGGCAAGAGAGATACATGATAACATACACTTGGAAGGTCCTGGAGGGATTGGTACCAAACCTGCACACGAAAATCACTCCATATGAAAGCAAAAGACTCGGCAGGAGATGCAACATTCCCTCGATGAAAAGCAGAGGTGCCATGAGTACACTGAGAGACAACACAATAACTGTCTGGGGCCCAAGACTGTTCAATTGCCTCCCAACATACATTAGGGGGATTACCAGTAGACCCCTGGCTGTCTTGAAGAAAGCACTGGACAGGCACCTAAAGTCAGTACCTGACCAACCAGGCTGTGGTTCGTACGTCAGCTTGCGTGCGGCAAGCAGTAACAGCCTAGTTGATCAGACCCTGATCCACCATGAGGCCTGGTCTCAGACCGGGCCGTGGGGGCATTGACCCCTGAAACCCTCTCCAGGTAACTGGCTAAGTGGGTTTGTGGGATGCTAGCACAAACAACCTGGTTGACCAAGTCATCAACAGGAAGCCTGACCCCAGGCTGAGCTGCTGAGGTAGAGGATCCTCAAAACTAGTCACAAGTCAGGTATAATAAATCAGCCTTAAATATAATAGTCTAACATTGTTTATTATTATTATTATAATCAAAAAGAAGCGCTAAGCCACAAGGGCTATACAGCTTAACATTGTTTAGTTGCAGTCAGTAAAAATTGTTTAAATATAAAAAATTTACCTTGTAGTTTGCAGACAAACAGCATATACAATATGCTTTAAATGGTGGGTACTGTATCATGTTAATTTTGGATGTTTTTTTTTTTTTTAAATTTGATGTGCTAGTGTAGCATCCAAAATACTGTGATCTTGAAAATTAGCCATATTTTGGTAAATCTGTACTGTATTGTTATTTTAAATATTCAAGGCATTATATATTCTATGTATTATATAAAAAATTCTTAATTTCAAGGTTAAGGGAAGTGGTGATCAGTCACTGGTGCCAGTGATGGCACGAGTGCCGGAGGAGATGGAGGAAGTGTTGGCATCAGATAAAACTCAAGATACTCTGCAGTTGGACTCTTTGGTTGGACATATAGAAGACATCATACTTAGTGAGGCACCATTATTGTAATGTCTGTTGTTTTTATTTATTAATCGATAGACATAGCCTTAATTAATAGTCTTAGCACTGTATAATTTTCAGTCAAAATGCATGAGCAAATATACACAAATAACCTGCATGTAGGAGAAAGAAACTTCTGACGACATATCGGTCCAATTTGGACCATTAGCTAGCTACATAGTGTGACTAGTTAATGGTCCAAGTCAGACTGAAATGTCGTCATAAGTTTCTTTCTCCAAAGAGTGGGTTATTTGTGTAACGTTCCAGACGTGGTATTGTGCCTTTTTGGTCTTTATGAGCAAATAGTCAAACTTCAGATGTCTTTCGCTTACTCTACTTAATTAAACTTCGACTTTATTCATTTTTGCAATGGGGTCATTTCCATTACAGGAAGAAAATAGCAAAAGTGCAATTAAATTGTAAGTAAATGACACACAAGTAATATGGAGACCTTTATGCACATCACTTGAACACCAAGCTTGCTTATCTGTGTGAAGTGCCTACCAGGCCATGGGCCACCATGTGTTTGTATTTTATACTATCTTTTTCCCTGCAGTTAAATGACTAAATTTATATACACATTAGATCTGAAACTGTTAGTAATCTCCCTATGATGTATAGAAATATGCCTAGTTGGATGAATCTTATTTTAGCCAGCTGGCCCAGTGGCTTATGCACTGGCTTGGAGTTCTGCGACTTACTTGTCATGGATTTGAACCCTACCCGTTCCGTCATTTGGTTTCTATGTTGGTTATTTAGAGCAAGGCATGATGAAGGCTCAATCTTCTATCTACTATTCATGAGGCAGGCATGCTACATAATTGTACTAATCTAGGTCTAAAGACAAATTGCATGACTGCTGTCAGCAGAGGCTTGGTCATGTCTTTCTGGAGTCTACCTGGAGGGTATTCTTGGGATCAACACCCCTGCAGCCCGGTCCATGATCAGGCCTCCCGGTGGATCAGGGCCTGATCAACGAGGCTGATATTGCTGGCTGCACGTAGTCCAACGTATGAACCACAGCCCAGCTGATCCGGTACTGACTTGAGGTATCTGTCCAGCTCCCTCTTGAAGACAACCAGGGTCTATTGGTAATTTCCCTTATAGCTGGTGGGAGGCTGTTGAACAGTCTTGGGCCCTGGACACTTACTGTGTTTTCTTTTAGTATACTAATGGCACTTGTTCTTTTCATAGGGGGTATGTTGCATCGCCTGCCAAGTCTTTTGCTTTCGTAGGGAGTGGTTTCTGTGTGCGGATTAGAGGCCAGTCCCTCTAAGATTTTCCAGGTGTAGATTATGATGTATCTCTCGCCTGCACTCCACTGAGCACAAGTCAAGTGCTTCCAAGCGATCCCAGTAGTTACGGTGTTTGATGGAACTTGTATGTGCAGTATAGGTTCTCTGTACATTTTCTAGATCTGCAATTTCACCTGCCTTGAATGGAGATGTTAATGTACAGCAGTATAGCAAGTTACTTGGGTCAATAACCTCAGTGCGGTACTTTCATCACCACATCTTAGATTTTTTTTTAAACCATAATTACAGTGGAACCTCAAAAATCGAACTTAATCCGTTCCAGGAGCTAGTTCTAATTTCGAAAAGTCTGAAATTCGAATCAATATTTCCCATAACAAATAATGGAAATACAATTAATCTGTTCCAGAAACCCAAAAATATTCACACAAAAAATAAATTTTATAGAGATTAATTACAGTTTTACATACATATAAAATAACATACAGATAAAATAATACATACATATAATATAAAATATAAAATAACATTTTTACTTACCTTTATTGAAGATTGGTGATGGCATCTGGAAGATAGGGAGGAGAGAGGGAGTTGGGGTTAGTGTTTGGAAGGAGAATCCCCCTCCATGAGGACTTCAGGTACAGCCCTCTCTGGGGTTACTTCCCTTCTCTGTCTTTTAATGCCACTAGGACCAGCTTGAGAGTCACTGGACCCCTGTCTCACAAAATAACTGTCCACAGTCCTCTGTTTCTGGCACCTCTTTAACATTTCCCTAAAATGGGACATGGTTCTGTCACTGAACTTGTTGCAAAGATGGCTTGTTTCAGCTTGCTCAGGGTGGTACTTCTGCACAAATATTTGGACATCATTCCACTTGGCACAAATCTCCTTAATCTTTGAAGAAGGCACCTCATCCACTCCCTCTTCCTCCTCCTCTGAAGCAAGTTCCTCAGCTGTGGTCTGATACTGCTCCAGATGAAGCTCTTGCAGCTCTTCAGTGGTTAGCTCTTCCCTGTGGTCCTCCACCAACTCTTCCACATCCTCACCACTCACCTCCAACCCCAGGCAGAGGATGAGCTGGGTCAGGGTCAGGGTCAGCCTCAAACCCTTCAAAATCCCTCTTTTGGACACAATCTGGCCACAATTGTCTCCAAGCAGAGTTCAAAGTCCTGGAAGTCCCTCCCTCCCAAGCCTTACCTATAAGGCTTATGAAGTTGTAGATGTTGAAGTGATTCCTCCAGAACTCTCTTAGGGTCAACTTAGTGTCTGTGGTCACTTCAAAGCACTTTTCAAACACTGCTTTTGTGTAGAGTTTTTTTGAAGTTAGAAATGACCTGCTGGTCCATGGGCTGGAGGAGAGGAGTGGTGTTAGGAGGCAAGAACTTTACTTTTATAAAACTGAAGTCCTTAGACAAGAGGTCTAATAAGTTTGGAGGATGAGCAGGAACATTGTCCATTAACAGGAGGCACTTGAGTGGCAATTTCACACTGGGGCCAAACACTTCACTGACCCACTCTTTGAAAATTTGTCTTGTGACCCATGCCTTATGATTAGCTTTCCACAAGACACACAACTTGTTCTTAAAGACATTGTTTTTCTTAAACACACTGGGATTTTCTGAATGATACACAAATAAAGGCTTCACTTTAAAATCACCACTAGCATTTGCACAGAACAAAAGAGTAAGCCTGTCTTTCATAGGCTTGTGTCCTGGCAGTGCCTTTTCCTCCTGTGTGATGAAGGTCCTTTTTGGCATTTTCTTCCAAAACAAGCCTGTTTCATCACAATTAAACACTTGTTCAGGTTTGAATTCTTCACTGTCTATGTACCCCTTAAACTCCTGTACAAACTTCTCAGCCGCCCGTTTGTCTGAACTGGCTGCCTCACCATGTCTTACAACATTGTGTATGCCACTACGCTTCTTAAATCTCTCAAACCAGCCTCTGCTGGCCTTAAATTCACTATCAGCACTGGTTCCAGGGGTTTTCTGTACCAGATCGGCATGCAACTTCCTTGCCTTTTCGCAAATAATCGTCTCTGAAACACTATTACCTGCAATCTCTTTATCCTTGATCCACACCAGCAACAACTTCTCAACCTCTTCAACTATTTGTGGTCTTTTTTTGGTTAGCATATTAACACCTTTCGCAACATCAGCTTCCTTGATTTGTTCTTTCTTTGCCAGGATAGAACCGATGGTCGACTTGTTTTTCCCACACATCCTGGCAAGCTCAACAAGTCTCACACCACTCTCATACTTCTGCATTATTTCCTTCTTCACATCTATGGTGTTTCTCACTTTCTTTACCACAGGGGTACCACTAGCAAGTTTCTTTGGGCCCATGGTAGCTTATTTCACAGTCCCACAAGCACTAAACACAACGAAATAATCGTAAAATGCATGAATGAGAGCGCAGGTTAGTGTTCACTCAAGCATAAGCAAAGCTAGACTGCTCACGGCGCCTACGTGGACAGAGCGGGCCAGCGGACAGGTCCCGTACCTGGCGGTCTGAAATTTGAAACGCGTTCGATTTTTGGTACACAGTTTGTCCGGAAAAATGGTCTTATTTTCGAAACGTTCGATATTTGGTACGTTCGATTTTCAAGGTTCCACTGTACAATGTATTGAGATCATCACAATTCATTAGCATGTTTTGTCATTTGACTGCTAATTACAGTTTATTCCAAAAATATATGCACTTTGATATAATTCTCAAATGACTGAAATGCATTGGAATGTTGAAAAATGGTTTCAAAATTAATCAATATTTTTAAGAAAGGAAGTGCCAAGTGTGACAAACAGGCTGCAGTTTGTCCTTATTTTAAATCTCAAATATAGTACTGATTAATTACCTTAGTACATTTGTTTATCAATACTACACTGTATGTATTACATCACTGTTTTCAGTTGCCTATTTTGTTTGCAGTGGAAAATTCATATATTTATACATACAGTGGACCCCCGCATAGCGAACGCCTTGCATAGCGAACATTCCGCATAGCGAACGCTTTGATCGCTAAAATTTTGCCCCGCATAGTAGACAAAAACCCGCTCAGCGAACTTCGTCCGAGACGCGTCCAATGTGCGGCCTCAGCCAGCCTCACATGTGCCGCCTGTCCCATTGTTTACCAGCTAGCCTCCGCGGTAACATTCAAGCATACACTCGGAATATTTCGTATTATTACAGTGTTTTCGGTTCTGTTTGTTGAAAATAAGTGACCATGGGCCCCAAGAAAGCTTCTAGTGCCAACCCTGTGGTAAAAAGGGTGAGAATTAGTATGGAAATTAAGAAAGATTTTGAAGGGTTTGGGGCTAACCCTGAGAAGCCTATGCCAGTTGTGGAATCCATTGTGCCTACTTCAAAAATTAAGGAAATGTGTGCACAGTGGGTTGAACTGCAAACCTTTATGGATGAAAATCACCCTGACACAGCTGTTGCAAGGCGTGCTGGTGACTATTTCAATGACAATGTTATGGCCCATTTTAGACAAATCGTAAAGGAACGGGAGGTACAGAGCTCTATGGACAGAAAGAAGTCCAGTGACTCTGAAGCTGGTCCTAGTGGCATTAAAAGAAGAAGGGAAGTAACCCCGGAAAAGGACTTGCCTCCTCAAGTGTTAATGGAAGGGGATTCCCCTTCTAAACACTAACACTCTCTCTCCCCTCCTCCCATCCCATCAATCATCACCAGATCTTCAATAAAAGTAAGTGTCATGTAATTGTGCATGCCTTTTTCAGTTTGTGTGTACTAAAATTAACATTTTTTTGTGGTAAAAAAATTTTTTTTTCATACTTTTGGGTGTCTTGCACGGATTAATTTTATTTCCATTATTTCTTATGGGGAAAATTAATTCGCATAGCGAACATTTCGCATAACGACCAGCCCTCTTGCACGGATTAAGTTCGCTATGCGGGGGTCCACTGTACAGGTGAATATGGCTATTTGGTTGGGTTAGGTTCACAGAACTTTCGTGCTCTTGCTCTGTCTTGTGAAAAATATTCACATTTGAGTGTGATTGATAGATAAATTAAGCCCAATGGCCTGGTGGCTAAAGCTCCCGCTTCACACACGGAGGGCCCGGGTTCGATTCCCGGCGGGTGGAAACATTTCGACACGTTTCCTTGCACCTGTTGTCCTGTTCACCTAGCAGCAAATAGGTACCTGGGTGTTAGTCGACTGGTGTGGGTCGCATCCTGGGGGACAAGATTAAGGACCACAATGGAAATAAGTTAGACAGTCCTCGATGACGCACTGACTTTCTTGGGTTATCCTGGGTGGCTAACCCTCCGGGGTTAAAAATCCGAACGAAATCTTCACATTTTCACATATGTTTGTTATTGTCTTGATAAAATGTTAACATTAACTTTTCAGCAATAGCTTGATCTCAGAAAATTTTAAATGCTTATTCTTCATTGTAATCTTTGCAGGTAATGAGTTTTCCACCCTGAGAGAAAACTTCCTAAAGAAACACTGTCACCTATTTGATGATAATGATGAGAACAAACTGGAATACATGGATATTTTCAAACAATATGTATGTATCATTTAGACTTTAATTTTTTTTTGGGGGGCTTATGAACACAGTACAGGAGGACACTGCTTATACATCAGGTTAGCTTCTGGGCTACTGATGTAAAGTGAAAATCACTGTAAAGTGAAACATAGCCTTTTTTTTTTCCTTTCAAATGTGTATAAAAGTCTGATAACATGTTACACTATCATGTATTATGTGAGCAATAGAACTAGGCCTAAAAAATGTATGTGCAGTACACACATTACTTACCTTAAAATATTTCTGTTCTTAGCTTATAGTGATTGGTGAATATATTTATTGTAGGAAGTCTGAATAAATGAAAAATGGGTATAATTGAAACTGCTGCATTAGCGAAACGCCATAAAGCAAAGTGCTGTTACGTGGGGCCCTCCTGTACAAATAGTTCTGATGTATGCAAAGTAAACTAGAACTGCTTGTGTTAATACAATACAGTGGTACCTCAAGTTTCGAACAGCTCCTGACTTGAACAATTATGTAAGTGTATTTTTGTAAGTGCTTTTTTAAGTGTATTTTTGGGGGTCTGAAGTGGACTACTGTAATCTAATTTACATTATTCCTTATGGGAACAAATTTGTTCGGTATTGGCACTCGAACAGCCTTCTATAACAAATTAAGTTCGTAACTCGAGGTACCACTGTATTTAGATAAGACATTTTAAGTCTTTAGGTAGTAGGTTGGTAGACAGCAACCGCCCAGGGAGGTACTACCGTCCTGCCAAGTGAGTGTACAACGAAAGCCTGTAATTGTTTTACATGATGATAGGATTGCTGGTGTCCTTTTTTCTGTCTCATGAACATGCAAGATTTCAGGTACGTCTTGCTAATTCTACTTACACTTAGGTCACACTACACATACATGTACAAGCACATATATACACACCCCTTTAGGTTTTCTTCTATTTTCTTTCTAGTTCTTATTCTTGTTTATTTCCTCTTATCTCCGTGGGGAAGTGGAACAGAATTCTTCCTCCATAAGCCATGCGTGTTGTAAGAGGAGACTAAAATGCCGGGAACAAGGGGCTAGTAACCTCTTCTCCTGTATATGTTACTAAATGTAAAAGGAGAAACTTTCGTTTTTTCTTTTGGGCCACCCCGCCTCGGTGGGATATGGCCGGTGTGTTGAAAGAAAGAAAGATTTTAAGTCTTGTCCAAAATTATTGATGTAGAATGGCATTCACAGAATCATTACTGCATTCCATAGCACTGCCTTCAAAATGCTAATGGGCTTCACAAATATCATTAGAATTCTGTATTGCAGTATAATACATGTACTTGTAACCTTCATTATGCACTACTGTGCAGTTAAATTGCATTATGTGCTGGGGGTTGGCTTTTGGTGATGTTAATTCTGAAGCCACAGATAAGAAATTTTTTTGTGCAAATTACTTAAATATTTTTGGCCAAATTTCTTTAAATGCTGCTCTAATATGCTTAATATTGACATTTGATTTAGGGGTCATGTACTGAGCAACAGTTTAGGGGTTGTGTGCCAAGAAAAAGTAAGTGGGTACTAAGAAAAAATGTGAATAATCAAAGCTCTCTGCCAAATGTTGAATATTTGAATCATGTTGATTACAAAGCATGTGCATTCCAGAGCTTGACTGCATATGCAGTGTTCTTCACAAATATCATAACTATTCCATTATAGTATGTGTAACCTGATGTATAGTACCAGCACATAGTTCACTAGTTATGGTATTATAGTTAAAGTGGACATGGTACAGAATACAATTACATACAACTACCATAGTAGGTGAAGGGATTTGGGAACTATGTACAGTACCAGGTATACGAGCGTGTGTATACTGATCTAAATTTGAGTTTATATCAGTTCTGGATAGTAATTAATAATTAACCCTTTGAGGGTTTTGGTCGTACTAGTACGTTTTACGCGTAGGGGTTTTTGACGTACTAGTACTCATAAATTCTAGCGGCCTCAAATCTAGTGGGAGAAAGCTGGTAGGCCTTCATATGAAAGAATGGGTCTATGTGGTCAGTGTGCACAGTCTAAAAAAAATCCTGCAGCACACAGTGCATAATGAGAAAAAAAAAACTTTGACCATTTTTTTTTAATAAATCAGCGACTTTGCAGTGTATTTTCGTATGGTATTTATTGTTGTATTCTAGTTTTCTTGGTCTCATTTTATAGAATGGAAGACATATTACAGAAAATGAGATGATTTTGACTGGTTTTACAATGAAAGGTGCCTTGAAATTGAGCTCAAAGTAGCAGAAATGTTCGATTTTTACCAAACTTCAAAAGTAAACAAATCGTGCCAAGCGTGCAATACACGTCAACTGGTGAGTCTAATATTCTTTTACAAGTGCACCAATAATATTTATACCATTTTTTTACACTAATGCAGTAGTCTGCATAACAGTAAATCTTATATTTTTTGTGAGAATAAAAATTCAAAGTGGAAAGCAAAAGAATATAAGAGGGGCCTTGAGACGTGACTAATGACTAGAGGAAATATCATTTTAGTGCCAGGAATGTCTTTCTTGTTTATTCTGGACCCTATTCGGAAATTGGCATCTTTTGAAATTTGTGTGAAATTGGCAAAATTGCTAAATTCTGACCACTGTACTGGATAGTTGAATTCATAAATGGGTGGTTTCTTGCACCCATTCGATAGAAAAAATGGAGTTCTAGCGAAATATTCATGTTTTTTGTCGGCTAGTACAGTGAAATTGGCCGAAAATGGGGCTCAAAGTGGGCAAAATCGCCGATGCGTAAACATCGCCGAGACCGCTAACTTTGCGAGAGCATAATTCCGTAAGTTTTCTATCAAATTTCAAACTTTTGGTGTCTTTATGATCGGGAAAAGATTCTCTATCTTTTCATAAGAGAAAATAATTTTTTTTTTTTTTAAATTTGGCCGACCCTGAGAACGAGTTTCGGAGAGGGCCTGTCGACCCTCAAAGGGTTAAGGGCCCTTTGCTATGATGCGAGTGAAGATTGCAACAAGATTCTTTGTTGCATTTCATATATATTAAAGGAGATGCATGACCTTGTTATGCATTCCTAGCTGTCAGTATTATTTAGTCATTCTTTTTCTTGCAGACTAATTTGATTGAGGGCCACATAGAGAAAGAGTTATCTAGCCGTGCTAGTGGCTTTCAGATGTCGTTATTCTTGCAAGAATTAACATCATCCTGTGCCCTTGATGGAGAAGTGTTTGATCTTCTCATGACTTTCACAGATTTCTTATCATTCAAGACTGCCATGCTAGAAATTAAGCAGGTTGGAATGCTTAAATTCTTTTCACCACAGATCGTCATACTGTAGTAATGTAATGAGTATTTGGTTTAATCATTCACTGGATAGCATGTTTTTAATATGTTAAATTAATACAGTGCATAACATAGCATAATGAATTGCATACTGTATTGTAAGAAAAATTGTTATTTTTCATTTCTTTTAACTTTCATGAAATTATTAGTAGAATCTATTTTTTTTATGCAAGTAAAGTATTCCTCTGACTTCCTCTTCTAGTATGTTATTTGTTTACTTACAAGTCTTTTACTTTTGGAAATTTTCTTAGTTTTGTCATCCATCATCTCCAGACTTGCAAACCATTGTAAGATATTCCTCTTAATTGACCCTTATTTTCCTTACCTGATATAAAATGAGAAAGAATATCAGAAATATCTTTTATATATGTACTGTACTTATACAGGTTAGTGCTTTTAGTGAATATCATTGTTGTTCGTACAGGCATGGGAAAAGATATCCCAAAATTTAATTGAATGCTACATTGCATAACTTTTTTTTCTTTTTTTCAGAGTAGAGAAGATGGAGCCGATACTTTAGAAGACTTACTTCAAATAACTAGTCTTAAATCTTAATTTAAATTACATATTAACTAGGATTGTAATTTCTGTATGCAAATTTTGGTTTTGTAATGGTAAACATATTACAATACATTAAAGTTTTTACTGTTAAGGCATGGTTTTGATATATCATACTGTAACTTTTCTGAAATAGCTGTAAAATGTGGTGTGAAATATTTATATTTTGTAGTGTAGCTGTGGTTTATATTTTGTAGTGTAGCCTTGGTTTATATTTTGTAGTGTAACCTTGGTTTATATTTTGTAGTGTAACCTTGGTTTATATTTTGTAGTGTAGCCTTGGTTTATATTTTGTAGTGTAGCCTTGGTTTATATTTTGTAGTGTAGCCTTGGTTTATATTTTGTAGTGTAGCCTTGGTTTTTTATTTTGTAGTGTAGCCTTGGTTTATATTTTGTAGTGTAGCTGTGGTTTATATTTTGTAGTGTAGCCTTGGTTTATATTTTGTAGTGTAACCTTGGTTTATATTTTGTAGTGTAACCTTGGTTTATATTTTGTAGTGTAGCCTTGGTTTATATTTTGTAGTGTAGCCTTGGTTTATATTTTGTAGTGTAGCTGTGGTTTATATTTTGTAGTGTAGCCTTGGTTTTATTTTTGTAGTGTAGCCTTGGTTTATATTTTGTAGTGTAGCCTTGGTTTATATTTTGTAGTGTAGCCTTGGTTTATATTTTGTAGTGTAGCCTTGGTTTATATTTTGTAGTGTAGCCTTGGTTTATATTTTGTAGTGTAGCCTTGGTTTATATTTTGTAGTGTAGCCTTGGTTTATATTTTGTAGTGTAACCTTGGTTTATATTTTGTAGTGTAACCTTGGTTTATATTTTGTAGTGTAACCTTGGTTTATATTTTGTAGTGTAGCCTTGGTTTATATTTTGTAGTGTAGCCTTGGTTTATATTTTGTAGTGTAGCCTTGGTTTATATTTTGTAGTGTAACCTTGGTTTATATTTTGTAGTGTAGCTTTAATTTAGAGATCCTACTAGTCATATACTGTATTACTAAGGAGTTCTACAATATTCATATACTGTACATGATGCTGACAGATTTTAGGAATACCCTTTTCAATACCCAAAAAGCAAATGCTGTTAGTGTAATTTATGTATACATTGTATTTTTTTTACCTATTAAAGAAGGTCCCCAAGCTAATGTTTTCTCATCAAAGTTTAATCTAGCACTTGTATGTGGAAAAAAAAGTTGAAGTTCAAGCCAATTACTAATAGAAGTGGTGGTGTTTGAATCATGGCAGTGAGATCTGACACTCATACTGCCAGGTGTTTACTCTTTAATACTTTAAAGAAAGGGTCAGGTAAGGTAAGATAGGCTCTGAGTTTATATTTCATTTGATTTCAATGTTTAAGAGAAAAATAATCCCAAGATAGCAGTTTCTAAAATGAGCAATTGCCCACATGTACAACAGAAGATGGATGGATGAAGAAAGTCTTAAAATTATTGCCGAAGACAGTTTGGAATTTCCAGCTCTCAAGATTATGCAAGGAAAATAAATTTTTTTGTGCTACTCACCTATATTCACTTGCTTTTACATGGTTACTGGGGTTGTCTTCATATTGGTTCTGCCCCTCAACTTGCCAGATTTATACTTGCCTAGAAATGTGAACCCTATTGTACCTATTGTGGGAGACTGCTGATGTGTTAAAAAATGTATGTACGTATATATTTTCAACACATTGGCCGTCTCCCACCAAGGCAGTGTGGCCCAAAAAAGGAACACTTTCACCATCATTCACACATAATCACTGTCTTTGCAGAGGTGCTCAGATATGACAGTTTAGATGTCACTCCAAACAGCCAATATCCCAAACCGCTCTCTTAAAGTGCAGGCATCGTATTTCCCACCTCCAGGACTCGAGTCCGGTTAACCGGTTTCCTTGAATCCCTTTACAAAATATTCCCTGCTCACACTCGAACAGCTCGTCAGGTCCCAAAAACCATTCATCTCCATTCACTCCTATCTAACATGTTCACACACATGCCTGCTGTATATTCAAGCCCCAGAAAAGAAAGAAACACTTTTACCATCATTCACACATAATCATCACTGTCTTTGCAGAGGCTCTCAGATACAACAGTTCAGATGTCACTCAAAACAGCCAATATCACAAACCCCTCCTTTATATACAGTAGGACCCCAGTATCTGCGGGTCTGGTTTCTGCGGTTTCATTTATCCGCGGTTTACTGTGGCCTGAATATAAGCCTTAATTTTGCTTAATGGCACCGTAGTACAAAAGTAGTGATGGTGGCAGTTCTTCAAAGCCTAAGAGAAGCCATGAAGTGCTTCATCAGTGAAAAAGTGATAATTCTCGACTTGTGCGTAATTTATCAATTAAGGTAAACTTCATAAAAGGTATGTATGCACACATAAATGAAAAATGACTTATATGTAGGGTTTGCTACTATCCGCAGTAGGTCCTTGTAATGTTTTCCCCACAGATACGGGGGTCGTATTGTGTTTGTGTGTGAGCAGGGTATTATTTAGTGAAGGGATTCAGGGAAACTGGCTATTTTTATATGGCCGGACTTGAGTACTGGAAATGGGAAGTACAATGCCTGCACTTTCAAGGAGGGGTTTGGGATATTTTGCAGTTTGGAAGGATATGTTATACACGTGTATCTTTATATATGCTTCTAAACTGTTGTATCTGGGTGCCTCTGCAAAAACAGTGATTACGTATGAGGTGAAAGTGTTGAATGATGAAAGTATTTTCTTTTTGGGGATTTTCTTTCTGGGTCACCCTGCCTCGGTGGGATACAGCCGGTTTGTTGAAAGAAGAGTTTTTTTTTTTCTCTCTCTCTCTCTCTCTCTCTCTCTACCACCGAAACAGGGTGACCCAAAAAGAAAGAAAATCCCCAAAAAGAAAATACTTTCATCATCATTCAACACTTTCACCTCACTCACACATAATCACTGTTTTTGCAGAGGTGCTCAGAATACAATAGTTTAGAAGTATATATGTATAAAGATACACAACATATTCCTCCAAACTGCTAATATCCCGAACCCCTCCTTTATTGTGCAGGCATTATACTTCCCATTTCTAAGACTCAAGTCCGGCTATATTTATATTTATATAATGCAGAGAATTCGTAGTTTGGAAGTTAGGAGGAGGTGCGGGATTACCAAAACTGTTGTCCAGAGGGCTGAGGAAGGGTTGTTGAGGTGGTTCGGACATGTAGAGAGAATGGAGCGAAACAGAATGACTTCAAGAGTGTATCAGTCTGTAGTGGAAGGAAGGCGGGGTAGGGGTCGGCCTAGGAAGGGTTGGAGGGAGGGGGTAAAGGAGGTTTTGTGTGCGAGGGGCTTGGACTTCCAGCAGGCATGCGTGAGCGTGTTTGATAGGAGTGAATGGAGACAAATGGTTTTTAATACTTGACGTGCTGTTGGAGTGTGAGCAAAGTAACATTTATGAAGGGATTCAGGGAAACCGCAGGCCGGACTTGAGTCCTGGAGATGGGAAGTACAGTGCCTGCACTCTGAAGGAGGGGTGTTAATGTTGCAGTTTAAAAACTGTAGTGTAAAGCACCCTTCTGGCAAGACAGTGATGGAGTGAATGATGGTGAAAGTTTTTCTTCTTCGGGCCACCCTGCCTTGGTGGGAATCGGCCGGTGTGATAATAAAAAAAAAAAAATAAGTCCGGCTATATAAAAATAACCGGTTTCCCTGAATCCCTTCACTAAATGTTACTCTGCTCACACTCCAACAGCTCATCAGGTCCCAAATGCCATTCGTCTCCATTCACTTACGTACATTCAGACTATGAACAGACTACCGTGTTAAAGTTTTATTTGCAATATTTCCAGAGATCCAAATTTTGAGTTGCGTACCTTCTGCTTAGTATGACGTTTTGCAGCAACCTTCATTGGGCAGCGCCAAAGTCAACAGAGTTGACATATGAAGATTTGATGGAGCTGGAAGAGATGCAGCACAAGGAAGAGCAAGAGGAACAAGATGAAACTGTTCCTTCTAAAAAGTTCAAGACAAAAATGATGGCTGAGGCATTTTCTCTTATAGAGAGAGGTCTCTGTATGTTTGAGCTTCAGGACCCCAATATCAAGAGATTCTCAAAGGTTTCAACTGGTGTTAACAATTCTATCTCATGCTACCGTCTTATATACGATGAGAAGAGAAAAACGGTGCAAACTTCCTTAGACAGATTCTTCAGATCAGTGCCTTCTACCTTAAAAGCCTCTTCAGATGTTGAAGTAACCCAGGCTTAAGAAACCCTGACTGATGAAGCATTTGATGAAGTATATGATGTTGATGACCCTCTTCCCCAGTAGCCCCACACAACCTCCGATCTTCCTCTCATCCATCACCTCAAGTTTTTTATACCAATTATTTGGGAAGAGGTGTGGATTAAAAAAATGAAGAGCAGAACTGTATGACCCTGGGGAGTTTAGCACTTAGTTCTGATGATAATAATAATAATAATAATAATAATAATAATAATAATGAAATATGCCGAATCTAATACACTAATACAAAGTGGAAGTTGTCACATTATTATTATTATAATCAAAAAAGAAGCGCTAAGCCACAAGGGCTATACAGCGGAAGTTGTCAGTTGCTTTTTGATGCCACTGTGCTCTTCAGAGATTCTGAAGAAAAGTTGCTAAGGTTAGTGGATAAATTTGAGAGGGCATGTAAAAGAGGGAAATTAGAAGTGAAAATAGGAAAGAGCAAAGTGATGAGGGTAACATCTGATCCTTTAGCATACCACATGAGAAGTCTGCCAAAATTCCGAGACTCCTCATTCCGCTCGACCATCAGTGCACTGATGGTGTGTCTGAATTGTAGTGGGCTTGTCATGAGGCCTGCTAAAGGATTGGGGGTTCGATTCCCAGCCAGTAGCAGTATTGTATATATACATATATATATATATATATATATATGCACGACAAGCCATGTGGAATGGAAATCTTCAGCTTGAGTACTTTAACACATTTTCAGCGCATCAGGAGCTATGCAATGTTGCAAGAGTAGCAACCGGAGGAATGAGGGGAAGTTTTCTCAGAGGAAAGTAGCATACTGAACATAGTCATTATATTTTTAAAATAAAAAAAAAAAAAAAAAAAAAAAGTCAT